TGCAATTTGGAAATGATAATACACTCAGAATCTCTTCTATTGGTTCTTCAAAAATTGCTAATGGTATTCACTTGCGGGATGTTGTGGTGGTTCCCCACCTCACCAAAAATTTATTATCCATTAGTAAACTAACATGTGATAATCCTGTGGATGTTCTTTTCTCTACTTCATCGTTTTTTATTCAGGATCGAACAACGAAGCAGGTCTTAGCACAAGGAAAATGTGATCGTGGGCTTTATGTTCTATTCACTTCTCCCAAAGCTTATGCATTTTTTGCCGGATCCAAGCCGCGTGCCTCGTTTGAACTTTGGCACTCCAGATTGGGACATGTATCTCTATGTTAAATAAACTTGGACTTTTATCTGTTTCTAGTGTGTTGCCAAAACCAAATATTTGCTCTCCTTGTGAACTTGCTAAGTCTTGTCGCTTGCCATTTTCTAATAATAATAAACGTGCTTTACATATATTGGATTTGGTGCATTGTGATTTATGGGGGTCGTCACCCGTTTCGTCGGTTAATTCATATTGCTACTATGTCTCTTTTGTGGACGATTATTCACGCTTTACATGGTTGTATCCACTCAAGGCCAAATCAGAATTTGATGATGTTTTCGTCTCATTTCTCACTTTTGTGGAAAATCAATTTTCCACCAAGCTTAAAGTTTTTCAAAGTGACGGAGGTATGGAATTTTTAAACTATCGTGTGAAGGGCTTATTAAACTCGCGTGGCATTTTTCATCCGATTTTGTGTCCGTACACCCCGCAACAAAACGGACGAGCCGAACGCAAGCATCGTCATATAATTGAAATGGGCCTTGCCATGATGTTTCATGGTCACATACCCGCCTCTTATTGGGTTCATGCCTTTAGCACCGCGGTGTATATTATTAATCGCTTACCTTCGAAAGTTCTTGTCTATTGTTCGCCTTTTGAGATGTTGTTTGGTCGGGTGCCATCTTATGATAATTTTCGCCCATTCGGGTGCCGGGTCTACCCTTATTTGCCGGATTATTCGCCTCATAAATTGTCTCCACAGAGCATTCCCTACGTTTTTCTTGGATATCACTCCCAATACAAAGGTTACTTATGTCTTGATCCTAGATCCTCGCACATCTACATCACACGCCATGCTCAATTTGATGAGTTGTGTTTTCCTTTTGACACCACTGCCACGCACACCACAATCGTTAATTTACCACTTCACTCCTTTTTGGATGATTGTTCGGATGTGTCCGTGCCCGCTGCTGTCTCAAATCCTGCTCCAACGGCCTCGCCTCCAGCTCCCTGTACTGTATGCGATGATCCTCCCATGTCGTCATCACCAGTCGAGCCCTCCAACCCGATCCTGCTTCTACAGTGCCTGCATCAGACTCCTCTTCTGCTGCCTCAGATTCTGATCACGGCTCCGACACTGAACCTGCATCGGGTTCGGATTCAGATCCGTCGATACCCGATGTCGACATTGCTGCACCCTCGCCCTCTGCTCCATCGGCACCGGCTCCTGTTGCTCCTATCGGGCACCCCATGACCACTCGAGCAAAATCTTGGATTTTTAAACCAAGGCATTGGGCGGACCTTTCTCATACATCTGATGGTGGGATTTATGCTGCTCTGTTTGCCTCTGTTGACCCGACAACGCATATTGAGGCTCTCAGGGATTCCAAATGGGTTGACGCCATGCGCTCCGAAATGGATGCACTTTCACAAAATCACACTTGGTCTTTGGTTCCCCATCCTGCTAACACGAATGTATTGGGGTGCCGTTGGCTCTTTCGGACCAAGTACATAGCTGATGGCTCTATTGATCGACATAAAGCACGCCTTGTTGCTCAAGGTTTTAGTCAAATTCCCGGTCTCGACTTTTCTCATACTTTTAGCCCGGTGGTGAAAGCGGTAACAGTCAGGGTTGTCTTGATTATTGCTAATATTAATAATTGCCAGCTCCACCAACTTGATGTCAACAATGCCTTTCTTCATGGCCACTTGTCCGATACGGTGTATATGCGACAACCACCCGGGTTTGAGGTCCTCGTTTCCCTAATTATGTTTGCAAGCTTAACAAGGCCATTTATGGCCTCAAACAAGCTCCTAGGGCCTGGTTTCATCACTTGAGCTCCTTTCTTGTGGCAAATGGGTTCATGTGCAGTCGTGCGGGTCCCTCTTTGTTTGTGTTTCAACGTGGTACTTGTCTCTTATACTTACTCGTTTATGTAGACGACCTTATCCTAACAGGCTCCGACACGACTGTTATTCGCTCTTTTATCTCCAAGCTTCACACCGAATTCAAGATCAAGGACCTTGGTCACCTCAACTACTTTCTCAGTTTGGAAGCCTAGCATCTTTCGTCCGTGTTGTTTCTTAGTCGGTCCAGGTATGCTCATGCTATTGTTTCCCGTGCTGGCCTACTTGAGTCGAAGCCCGTGGCGATCCCACTATCCCCGAGTGTCTCTTTTGTTGCATCTGGTACACCTTATGAAGATCCGACCCATTATCGTTCTCTTGTTGGGGATTTGCAATATTTGACCATTACCCGTCCTGATATTTCTTATGCTGTGAATCAAGTTAGCTAGTTTCTTCAGGCTCCTACTATTGATCACTATCAGGCGGTCAAGCAGCTTATCCGATATGTTAAGGGCACCCTCTCCTATGGTCTTACTTTTTCGAGACCTACATCTACGACCCTTGTTGGTTATTCTGATGTGGATTGGGCTTGTTGTTTGGATACACGTCGGTCCACCTATGGGTACTCGATCTTCCTGGGGGTAATCTTGTATCCTGGAGCGCTAAAAAGCAGCCTACGGTCTCTCGCTCCAGCTGTGAATCTGAATATCGAGCCATGGCTAACACTGTTGTTGAACTCATATGGATTACTCACTTGTTGTGTGAGCTTCACTTTCTTCCCACTGGTCGTCCGACCATCTTGTGTGATAATCAGAATGCCCTATTTCTCACACAAAACCCGGTGTCTCATTGTATCTGGGAAACTCGTTACCATGTTTGTTCCTACCAAGCTTCAGGTAGCGGACATTTTTACTAAGAGCCTTCCACGACAACAGTTTGAACAGTTTCGTCACATGCTTCGCCTTGGACCGCCAACGATTCGCTTGAAGGGGGATATTAGACAAATATAGTTCTTGTACCATTCTGTTTTTATCCATTAGTTAGAGGGGTGTTCATGAAAGTTATTTATTAGTTAGAGGGGTGTTCATGTAATTTATTTACCTATATATATCATTGTAACTCTCGTGTATCAACAATATCAACAACAGAGAGTTCTTCATTAACTTTCACACCATGTCAGCAAGAGGTTGTTAATTAGTTAGATATTAGTTTTCTGTTTCAGATTAGTTAGGCTCATGTTAGCAGCTTATAATAGCATAGATTATTCGGTATATATTTACAAATTGTACTTTGTAATCAGATGATGAATAGAAGGTTTTCATTCGCTTTTCTCCATTTCTAAATCACAATATTAAACAAAGAAAACCCATCAAGTAATTAATTATATTTTCCAAAACACGTTCTAGGTGTTATCCAAAAGTAGGGGCGGGGACCTAAAGATATTTCCTTAAGCAACATTTCAATTTTTTATTTGTTTTAAAATATTTAATTTAAATTCAAAACTTCAAATTTCATTCACTAAAATTCACATTTACATAACAAGGATGGCGATGAAGTCTGGTAACTAAAGATATTTCTATTTGGTGTGTTGACAGAATTAAATTTATTTGGAGAGTTCTAATAATTTGAAGTGGTAAAATGTAATAGATAAATTTGGTAAAAAAATTTTGATAGTTTTGTATTTATATTGCATAAAAAGTAATAAAAAAAATTTTAAAAATATAGATTAAAATAATTAAGGTAGAAGAGAGAAATTTTCATTTTCTTGATATTTGGTGCAGTCACGGCATTGTATTTGTCATCGCAAGAAAATTGTCACACGTGCTCTAGACGCTATCGTTATGTGCACATTTAATGTTTTAAGTTTATCAATATTTTGCGGTAATATGCGGCTAAATTACGGATTAAATCTTTGTTGGGATTTTGTCGGAATCTCCCATGCTTTCTTTACTAGTAAATTTTTGTATGTTAAAACGTTTTTCAAGCACTTCTATGTATAGGTTCCCAACAAAAGAGTTTTGATGCAAGCCTAAGAGACAGCACAATTAGTTGGATTTATTATTGTCCAATCATATAGATGGATCTCTAGCTCTTGTAAAGGGGTTTCACTTTCATGTCTGGTCACGTAGTCCTTGTCCAGAATAAAAAACACTACAAAAAAAATGCCATTAGTGACGAAAAAGAAATAGTCACTAACAATAGAAGTAGTCGTCACTAAATGATTTAGTGTCCAAATTTTTGGTCGTCACTTTCGTCACTATGGGTCCGTCACAAAAACTGAATAGTGACTAAACTAGATTGGTCACTAAGTCTGTGGCAACCCGTTTTCGTCACTAATCAATGAAAATCGTCAAGGGATCATCTATAAAGCAAGTCGTTTTGAATTGAATATATTCAAACAAAAAGCTGACATAGATGTTATAGGTATCATTTTTTTTAAGTTGGTTCACATCTGAAATTTAGCAATTTATCCATTTTCCATAAAGGAGCCGAATGAAACCAAAGTTTCATGTTCGGTTTTGAATTAGAGACGTTAAAAATGATGAATCAACGTCGATTATAATCCCTAGCTTTACAAGCTAACGATGCGGGTTCGATTCCCGCTACCCGCTCTATAGCCTCTACTTATAGATTTATTCTATTATCTTACTATATTTATATATTATTACCGTTTTACCTAATTAGTGACCATAAAAAATCATCACTGTCTTGTCCGATTAGTGACCATAGAAAGTCGTCACCGGTCCATCATATTTGTGACCATAAAAGGTCGTCACTGATTTATCTAATTAGTTACCAAAAAAACTAGTCACTGATTTTTGTTGCTATTTCTTGTATTTAACCCACATGGAACTTAATCAACGGTAAGATATCCTCTGAACAATTTAAAAATATATAATTGGTTCTCAATTTATAAAAACAAAAATATGGGGAAAAATTATTTTCTATTTGGCATTGTCTCAATAATCATGCAGACTTACATCATGTCCTCAACAAAACCTTATAACAACTTTCCAGCAAATTATACAAAAAAAACCAAGAAAAAAAAAAGATTCAACGCTTCCGGTTATTCAAACAACATGCTCTGCTTCAAGAAAACTTTTTTTTTCTGCAATAATTGTCTCATCTGTTTGCAGCTTCTATAAGCAATCTTCCCAAGTCAATATTGACCATGCCTGAAATATATATATATATATATATATATATATATATATATATATATATATATATATATATATATATATATATATATATAGATAAGATAACTCACATGTATTATCTATCCCACCACAAGCTAAAAACATCATCACAAATAATTAATGTCAAAATAATAATCAAATTGTCAATTTCTGAATAGGGCAGAATGGTCTATGTGGTTCTTGTTACTTCAGGTTATAAAAAAAATATTGGATGTGTAATGCATTTCCACCAAAAATATATATTTTATAAACTTTTTTTGTGTCAAACTCAAAGAATTTGTAAACTAAGGATACATGGTTTAACTGTAACATCTCATTTTCACCCAAAAATCTTATCTTTTATATCATTCCTCCGCTACTCTACTTTTTTCTAATAAAACTAGTACCCATCAAACTGCATCCTAAATCAAGATTAACACAATTAGAGGACCAAAATTATAGTTACACCAGGTCTTAGATCCGTTAAATTCATAAAAAGACCAAAATACCCCTTAGAATTTTTATTGTACCAAAATCTTTAAAACATCAAACCAACTCTTTCTAATCCCCTGCTAACCATAGTAACAATGTATTATACAATCTTGAAAATACCTGCCGCATTTAACAGTAACCCAAAAAAGACAATAATGCCCTTTGTTTTTGTTTTCGTACCAAGTATTCATCAGTATTGTACTTTTTACCGGTAAACCTAATCCCCACAAAATTGCCCTTTGTTTCTTTCATTTAACTGAAGTTTTATACACTACACTACATCCTAAAGCCACATTATATCATAAATCTATATTGATTTGGATGATCTAGCATATACAAATTTCCGATAAGTAAAATACCCTAGAAATAAGTCAAAGTACAAATAACTTTTAAATTTAATAAGATAAACTTACTTCATCACGAAGGGAAGATGCCTCATGTTGACCTCCCATATCTTTATCTACACATCCAATATCCTTTACAAACTTAAAAATGTAGACTCATAAAGTCACATATTTAATATCTTGTTATAGTTATAACATTACCACATTATAATTACGCATTTATTACCTATTTTGACCGTGTGTGTTGCCAATATGTAGGACAATAGGTGGAATAACTTGTCCTGTTCAACAATGTACTTTTTAAAAAGGTTGAAAATACAATGTTGATGTTGTTATAGAATACACAAATAAACAAACGCGTGTTGTTATTTATTGCATATTTCCTTTTTTTTTTATATTCTATGTACATAGAATGTATAGCTTTCGCTCTACTTTAATGATGTTCCTATAAGTACATTTGCAGTAATTTCATATTTATTACCTTCTTAAACTTCAAAAAGCTCTTAACTTGTTGAGTTTCTAGCCACAACATTCTCCTTGGTCAAATTTCCTACTCTTGGCATGTCCTATTAAAGAATTTATAAATTCACTCAAGTATTATTCCTATTAAAGAAAAAACCAACCTGCATGACACGTTCATCCTGGCGTAAATCTTCATGTCCTTTGAGGAAAAAAGCATAATCATTCCCATCACTCCCATGAATTGTAAGTTTTATGGGTCGCTGTTTGGAGGTAATCACAACAAGCTGTGGTGCAAATATGCAATTGCCACAAGAAGAGGATACATAAGAGCCTGTAATGGATTTTAAAATAGGTAAGTCTACATGGTGTTTTATGTTCTAAAAGGGTAAAAAGGAAAAACAGAAGAGACCTTTGGATGGATTTATCCTATGCGAATGAGAAGAGATTGTATAAACTCTCTCACAACATGATTATTTGAGTGGATTCTTGCAATGATCTGAGGCAAAAAAAACTAACCATGTGTTGATGTTAACATGTGAAAATCCCTTCTGTAGTGTTGTTTGAACCTCAGCAGTAGCTCCATGGTTGAACCACAAGGTGAGAAGACAAAGGATGTCCTGGAAAAATCAGAAAAGTGAACTCATCATAAACATTGAAGATATATGAAAAACAATGGAATGAACCATTCCATCATATAAAGTTTATAATGACTCAACTGCAAGCTATCATCTACACTCTTAGCATGTGCTGCACAAGCTATACAATGAAAGTAGCCAGTGACTGCAACCACTACAAATTGTGCAGCAAAATTAGGAAGGCCTCTCACTGTATAATGAGACATCATTGCTGTATTGAAAAGAGCCCATGTATGCCATGCTTTCGCCCACTTTGTGGCACAATGAGTCTGCTCATTTGTTGCTAAACAAAAGTGATTCTCCATCAGAGCATGTTTAATTGAGTTTGTTTGCAAAATCCAAAAGAAAATGAGTAAAGCGTTATTTGCTTTACTTATCTAGGATACCGTAAGTGAAGTCAAAATTAGTGACATTGTTAAGATAATGAACTGTGAAGCATTTACAATGTATTTCCTTATCTGATTGAAGAATAAATCATAAGAGGAGCTAACATAGAACAAATAAACTCTCTGTCAAAAGACAAATCATAGAGATTCACAGCCACTTAGAAAGAAAAAAATTGGAATTAAACCTAATAAAATCGAAACATAGAAATACACAGAATTGGGAGAGAGATAGAGATAGAGGGAGAGGGATACCAAAATGGTAGATGCGAAGAACTGAGAAGAAGAGACAAATGGAGATATGACCATGCTCTACGTATCAGAGCGAATCCGTACATATCTGATTAGGTCCAAACAGGCGATGCGATGTGACACAATTAGGTCGAAACGGATATGCGATGTGATTCAATTACGTCCAAACGACGATGCGATGCGATTAGGTCCAAACTCCCATACCAACGTGAGGAGGTGCGTGGACGGAGGGGATGAAGCATTGAGGTGGCCGACAAGAGGAGGTTTAGAACTGCCTGTGGATGGAGCTACGCTGATGGTGGTAGTGCGTATATTTCGATCTAGGTCAAAATTAGTCAACATATGGTATTATTTGTTTTAATCGAAATATAAATAGAACCATAACTTTTTCAAATTTGTTTCTCCTTCTTGCCACTATTTCTAAATATTATTATAATAACTCTTTATAAAGACTAGTATTTTTAAATATTATTATAATAAATATATTTATACGGTCTAGTCTTGCAAAATTATGTCTAACAAAGCTGTAGTCATTTCCAAAATTAAAAAATATTAATTAAAAAAGAAAAAACATCATATATGATCCCTGTAGTTTTCCAAAATCTGAAGTTTACTACCCGGGGTTTAGAAACGTTATAGATGGTCCCTATGTTTTCAAAACTTTTGACGATCGGTCCTTATTGCTAACTCCGTTAAGTATTTTAATTCCGTTAACCAAAGGGCATTTTCGTCATTTCACTACTATAAGGACCATTTATGATGTTTTCTCTCAATTTTTTTAAAAGGAAAATTAAATATAGTTATTTAATACTCTCCCTCCCTCTCTCTCTCTCTCTCTCTCTCTCTCTCTCGTATCAACATCATATTCGTCAAAATGTTTTAGCATACATATTTCATTCCAGAATCATTGAATTGCTCAAACCTTCAAGAGTTTTCCGGTATAACCTTTAGAACATTTACCTAAACAAACACAAAAGTCGATCAGATCTAGCCTCAACAACATCAATCATCTCTTATCTCTTTCAAGAATTTCATCACACGGGTTAGACCAGATCTTGTCACGACCATATGAAGCATGTTCTTTGATGAAGAGCTTGGTGAGAATATGTGATTTTCAAAGTATGATGAAGAAGGAAGTGGCAGAGTTGGAGATAATGAATGTGATTGAGGCGTTAAATATTGAAGCGGAAATCGGAGGTTGAAGAGGTTAAGCTAACTGATCACAGGGGAGAAAAGTCGAAGTTTGGAGAGGAAATCGGAGTTGTAGATGATGAAGACGAGGGTGGAAATGACGATTCAACCCCAATTTTTCTTACCCACATACAAAAGCTTTTGTTTACCCCCAATGAATTTAACCCCAAATTTGCCAAAATGTAAATCCACTGAGTGTTTGTTGATGTTAAAACCCTAAAAAAAGATCTCCAACCAAACTGCGAGTAAAACCGAACAGCAAGAAACACTGATCTCACCACCTCGACAAATGACTAAGAAACCGCCCAGGCTTAATGAAAACCAAACTCCAAGATGAAACGCAGGAACCAAAATACACAGTAGAGACCCCCACTAGCACCAGGCAAAAACATAGATAATCTCACCAAAACAACAACAAGAAGGCATCCAACCACCAAACAACAAAACAAATCGAAAATAATAAAAGGCTTAGCAATAACCACCAACAAAGGAGAACAAAATCTTGGAATACACTTCAAAGAAAGATAAAGAGAACCGACAGCATCCACCACCACCACTGGGGCAATTGGGTGTAGTTGGTGTTGACCTAATTCAATTGGGTGTAGTTGGCGTCTGAATATGAGATTTTGGCTTTGATTTAGAGGAATCAAGGGTTATTATTGTTGGTGGTAGCATTTAGAGAGAGAGAGAGAGAGAGAGAGAGAGAGATTTTATATATTAAATAACTATATCTAATTTTTCTTTTTAAAAAAAATAAGAAAAAACATTAGAAATAGTCCCTGTGGTGTGAAATGATGAAAATGCCCCTCGGTTAACGGACAAAACTTAACGGAGTTAGCAATAAGGACCAATTATCAAAAGTTTTGAAAGCATAGGGACCATCTATGATGTTTCTAAACCACGGGTACTAAACTTCAGATTTTGGTAAACCACAGGGATCATTTATGATGTTTTTTCATTAAAAAAATGATTTACATTAATTGAAAATTATATATATATATATATATATATATATATATATATATATATATATATATATATATATATATATATATATATATACCTTAAAAACATTTACAAGATTATGCTGAATTTTAAGAGGTATAAATTGTTATGCATCATATACAACAACTTTATGCAATGATTTTTATTTAATCATCATGGATTTTGACCGGATCTTATATATTATTCCCTATCACTCCAACAACCTCCCCACCATTTCTTCATTTGAATTGGTCAAAATCAATCGAGTCTGTTGGATCAGTCAAAGTTATATAGCATCCTAGACTTCTTGAATCAGTTGATCTGGGAAACGCCTTGCAGCATCCTCTCCTCCTTCCCTTATATATTGCGTCTCACCACCCTTATGCTCCCCTGTTCTCCATAAACCATACACTCCACCGCCACCACCACTCAATCCTTCCGTCATCACTCATTACACATGTCGCCAAGCAACATCAATCGAAAGGATTAACCTTTTGAATCGGTCAATACTGAACTGGTATTCCTCACATTCAGCATATTCAAATAAAAAACGTGTTCGATTCATTGGTATCTTGCGTTTCTTCCATACAACTCCTCCACCTTCTCTTTCCTCTTCACGTGATTACTTCCCTTCTCTCCAAACTCATACTTACTTTCTTTCTTTTCTTCATCCACTTTTTCTCTTGGCCATCGCAGCACCACAAACACACACACACACACACACCCTTTGATGTTATGGCTTCCGACAGCAACAACCAACACGATTTATGTTCTGCTTCAGTACCTAATCAATCGATTATCTATATTGCTGGTCATAAAATAAGAGGGATTTGGGTATTTTGAATGAAAACCCTAAACCTCGGATTTAGATGATTTGCAAGTATTTGCTCTTTTTCTGAGATTGTTCTTTTTTCCTTTCTTACTGTCAATGTTTCTCTTCAAAATTCATAATTGAATTGAAGAATCTAAATTATATGTTCTCAATTTTGGTTTTTCCGATTTTGGGGTTTTCTAATATTAATATGAACTGAGTTTTTTGTTTTTATTTGCATCTTGATAGATTTTTCAGTATGGGGTTTGCAGGAATTCCGCTGCTAGAGCCACCACTTAATCACCTTCTTATCCCAGCAACGCCGCTGGTTAGCTTCTCTTCTTCATCGCTGAAATCGTTTCTATAAAGTCGATATACTTGCTTCTCTTCTCTATTTCTGAAATCGATTTATTATTTGAAATTGATTTGTTAAGTGATCTATAAAATCGAATTTGGATCTAATATTCAATACAAAGTGCCTCAGCTGAATCCTATTCTCAACATATGCTCAATTTTGTTTGTTTGTTTTTTTGTTTTGTTTTGTTTTTTGTTTTTTTTTTTTTTTTTTTTTGCACATACATGATCAAATCTGATTTTTGAGTTGGAATCTCTGGTAAGTTTGGTTTTTTGGTTTATTTTACAATAGTGTGGTGTTTCTTTCTTATTTTGTCATCTTTTGAGTTGGAATCCCAGTTAAGTCCAATTTTTTAACTGTAATGTATTGTGGTTGAATCTTCTTACTTCAATTTGCATATGATTTTCATTCAGTTTTGGTTCAAGTTAATAAGATTAAATTTTGTAACGGTTGCATACTTGCAGGTTGACTGTATTCCTATGTTGTGATGCAATTCAGGTCCCATTTGCTTTAAATTTGGTAAAACAATTTTTTTTAATAATGGTGCGTTGTGTTTATATTCCTCTATATGTTATTTGGATGTAGGGCATGTGATAAGTGTGGTAAGATTCCAAATAAAACAATGAAAATGATCACTTTATGACCATTCAAATATTTTAGATGGATATGCAATTCACATTGTCAATTCAACCTCAAGTTTTTTTCCTAAAAAACTACATTATGTTTGCAGGTGTTTACTCATATTCCCTTATGGATATTATAATCTTATATTCTGGCTTACTGGTATGTTGTTCTTTTCTACTAACATGATTTTTTTTTTGTTTTAACTTCATAAACTTAATGCGGACAAGTTTATACATTTGTTACAATATATAAATAGCTCCCATTTCTCATTTCTTCTCTTATCTCTTAATCTAAGTAAATACATACTTCAGGGTTTCTAATGAGAGTTATGTCTCATAATAGCATTGTACTTTGAGACATCAACGTTTTAATAGGAACCTCCTTCCATTTTATGTTTTTCGAATAGCAATGTACTCTTTTTTGTTTGTCAAATATAGCATCATGCTTTCATTTTCTGTTTAGTCAAATATAGAAATATGAAAGTAGAGTATTATAAATGGTCATATCTTCCAAAGTACATTGCTAATTTTCTTTTAGTGTTTGGTGTACATGTGTTTGTTTCTATGATGTATGATGTGTGTTTGCTATTATGGATATATAATTTTAAGTATGTTGCTATTTATCTATAAGGAAAAACAACCCTAAGGGTAAATTTGTAAATATCCCATCAAAATTAACCGCCTATAAAATGTTTGCATTTTTCAGGTACTCATTGCATCGATTCACCAATCGACTCATGTATCCTCTGCCTAGAAAACATAGATACACAATAGAGCAAGCCTACATGCCTACAAGATAGAGATTAAACTTGAACTTCATGAACGGTATTTTGGTCATTCTTAATGATAATTGTATTGATTTGTCTTGTGTAAACTACATACTTTATCGAGTTCAGAATTTGGAGTCAAAATGGAGCCATTTGCACATGTTTCCTTATTTTTAGTTACTTTTCTTGATGTTACTTTGATACACCTTTCTAATTCTTTTCTTCATTAAAATCCACATTTTTGGCTTATATGGCGGTCGATCAAGAGTTGGGACTGAGAAAACGGGAAATATGTGCTACAATTCTTTTTTTATTTAATTTTATTAAACCAACATGTAGTAACTGTTGGATTAGTGTCTAGGTCCATAACTATTTTGGTATGTACTTGACCCGATGGTGCATGGTCTTTTTGGGTTGCCTTCACCAAAGCAACTTGATAAGATGAATTATGGAGAGAGAGAGGATTAATTATGATTTATTAATATATTATGAGAATAATATATTAAAGGAGAAATAATATTGTTTAATTAATATTAGTCAAGAATTAATAAGAATTAAGTTTGTGGCTAAAAGACATTAATTAAACTTAAGGGACTAGAATTGTCAATTGTGTGATAGTTGAATATTGGGCTAATGGACTCCATATTAGAGGGGTGGACGAATTCTATGGGGAAACCCATTAGAAATCGTCCTAGGCCTCTAAGGAGGGAGTCCATGGGTTGCTTAGCGCCTAAGCATCCAAATTAGGATTTCGTTGTTAGATAACCCTAATAGCCTCACTATTTAAAAGAACCTTGAGACTCAAAAACGTGGTGAACTTATTCCTTAGGGTTCCCACATGTTTTGGACAGCCTCCCCTCTCCTTATTCTTCATCCTCTTACTCTTGGTGTTTGTGAACCATTAGAGGAGTGACATTTGTGACTCTAAGCTTTCTAAAGTCATTACAAGGAGGATTTGAGATTGTTATTGCTACATAATAATCAAGGTAAGATCTAAACCCCATTCATAAGTTAATTTGATTAAGTGTATGCTAGAACTAGGGTTTAAAGTCTTGGATGAATTGAATGTACAATAGAGAAACGTAGATCCAAGCATTAGGGTTTGCATGAGCACATAGGATGTTCTTATGGTCAAAACCCATCAGTGGTATCAGAGCCTTGATTGGTTTCTATTGTATTGATGCTTATTTAATCGAAATTATCACTGAAAGTCGAATTTTTTTTGCTTCTGAGTGTTTGACTCGCCAAGTCACTTGGTGAACTCACCGAGTCAGCTGTACTCGACGAGTCAAAGGGTCTGACAGCTCATTTTCGCGATTTTCTTCCTGTTTTGGCTTTGGATAATTACCATAAACATGTTTTTGTAATAAAATCCAAATTTTATCAATATTTGGTGATTATCCTTACAAAAATAGAAGATAATTGTCAAAATTTAGATAATCATTTTTTTATTAGATAAAGTTTGATTATTTGTAATTTAGATTTGAATTATCTTGTGAAAAAGTTTCAATTTCCCCCTTTAGGTTTTATAGTTTAAATTTGAACTTAAAAGTTTTGTTTTGAAATTTAAATAAGTTAAACCCTAATGTTTTGAAATGTTTCAAAACTTGCCCTCAAGTTTTGGAATTTAAAAGTTGATTAAAAGTTTAATTTAGAAATGTTAAATTCTAAAACCCTAGTATAGTTTTGAAAAGTTCAAATCACACCCTTATGGTTTTATTAATTAATTAAAGTATATAATTAAAAGAGATTTAATAAATCCATAAAGTTTTGGTTTACAATTTAATTAAATTAAAAGTATAATTATTAAATTTGACCACCTAGTATTTTAAAAGAGTAAAATACACCCTATAGTATATATAACATTAAAAGCCTAATATTATATATATGTATGAGTAAAAGTCAGTCTTACCGTTAGTAGGCCTCATTCACGAAGCTGGTTTATAAGGGGTGTTTAAGGAAATTGCCTATAAAATGGCGATTTAATGGGTATCCACTCTTACTCACCGCACTCTTGACTAGTGGAGGGTCATTAGCCGAACGGGTAGGATATGACAGAAACCTTCCATTATAAGTATAATGAGGTACAAAAGTAACTGAATGCTTTTACAAAATTGTCAATCTTAGTTACTTTAGGCAAAAGTGAATTGATGCAATTCCATGAAATTACACTTTGTATGCGAAGACGTTAGTGGAGCGTGTGTGGTTAACCGGCACACTAAATGGTTCTAAGCAAAGGTAGCAAAGGGTGACTCAATGTTTGTCATAGTTCGGTGGAGTGTGTGTGGTTAACCGTCACATCGAATAGATGACTGTAACATATGGGGGCACCATGTAAGTTTGCATGGTTATTCACACCCGCTTTGTGATCCTCGGTATCCCAGTCACAAACTAGAAGGGAATATCGAGATTTAAACATGCCATTGAAATGTTTAATGAATCTTAAAAGATCTAGGAATTTTCAATAGATTTAAAACTTAAATTTCTTTTTTTTTTTCGTTTTTCGTGGTGGAAATTGGTAAATCGTCATTTACCTACCTTCAAATATTCTGCAACTAGATTACGGCATCCCTTTTATAGGTTGTAGTGTATTGTGTTGGATCCTATCCTCGATGTTTCATTTGGGTGTCACATCGAGGATTCCAATCAACTAACTTGAATTTGTTTTCTCCCATTTTGTAGATGTCAAAGTATGAAAAATATGGTATTTCCAAATCCCGTGGAAGAAGCTTTCCACATGAAGATGATATCCCACGATTCGTTCGAGGAACAAGAGATCATGCTTCACTTCCTCTACCTCCTCCAATTATTCTCCCTAACCCAAAAGTTCGAAGGCTTGAAAAGTTCAAGCTCACTCAAGCCCTTTTGGCAAGTAAACATGAAGAAGGAAAGTCGGTGTGTGCACACATCCTAGAGATGAAGTCACACATTGATAGGTAAGAATGTTGGGATCCGTTGTGTGTGAGGAGTTGGCTATTGACTGGGTTCTTCAGTTACTTCCTAACTTGTATAGTGAGTTCGTAAGAGAGTACTATATGATGAACCATGATGTGACCCTTATAGATCTCATCTACATGCTTATTGCTGCTGAATCAGCGATGGTTTGGTGCACTGGAAAAGAAAATTTGATTGGTGAATCTGCCTTCGAGACCTCTATGGATATAGGCAATGGCAACGAAAGGCATGCCATGATCGAAAAGTTTGACCATAAGAGAAAGGCAAAGTCTGAAGTAGTTCCATGTGCTGTTCCAAAAGAGTCAATTTGGTTTTATTTCCAAGAGAAGGGGCATTGGAGACGAAGCTGCCCTATTTACCTAAGAGATCTAAGAAATGGGAGAGTCAAAACGTATGGCTCTACTTTAGGTAAAATCCATTAACTAACTCTTTTAAGTTCATATTCTAGATTCTTAATACATGATGTGGTAAGATTACAATTGATGTTTTATAGGATCAAAGAAAAGGAGAGGAAGCTTAAGGGAAGAAGGGAGCGGAATCTAATCGTGAAGAAATGGATTTCGATCGCATTGCTTGAAGATTGGATTCCTGAGCTACTACTTAGAGTTAGAAAAGATTGCTAAGAAACATGTATTAACATAGTTTTTCGATGAGTTGCATTGTAAGGACAAATTTTTCCGCAATAAAATAATTTTTTTTATATTATTTATTTATCCTTAAAATGGCATGCATGAAAAATTGATGTTTGAAGATTTCCATTATTAGCAATAATGGATTTGATTCTTAATTATGTTATTTGTGGAAATGTCGAGAATTTAACAAATAGGGAGAGTTTCTCATCGCCCAAGTTTCAATTGGACAGAAACTTGGAATCCTGCAACGTGTATGATGAATAAAAAACTTTCACATTTAGAAATTAGACTAATTCATTGACAAAGTGTCAAGTGAAGGACTAAGAGATCGAGTACACAAAGTTGTGTGTTGATCAAGTAAACCACAAGAGTAACAAATATATTCGTCATGATTTACTAAAAGTTTAGTAAATATGATTATACTTATAAGATTAAATTTAATTCTGAATTGATTGAAAGAGTTTAAATCAATAGCAGAATGAATAAGAAGAATCAAGTAGGCAGAAAGATAAAAGTTTCTCTATTCTAAGAAGAAGGGAGAGTACCTTTTATTATGTTTTATGATAGGTCTTAATGATTAAGAACCATATCCCAATTGATCCTCTAAGTGAGTCTTAGTACAAATGTATGTCTGAGAAGAGGAATCAAGAATCGAAGAAATGGTTAAATCAAAAAGTCAATCATACTTCGTTCCAAAACAAATCTTAGAGTTAAGATTGTGACATTGAGTGACAAGTCTTAAGAAGGTTTATAACAATGATCAAATGTGGAAAGTTGTGATGTCTTGGATAAGACAAAGACCAACTAGGAATAATTTTATGAAGTGTTATGTCTTGATAAAAGCTACACTAACTCTTGAATATTTGTTTGTCAAGAAATGTTTATTGACAAGAGAATCTTATATGTCCAGGAGTCAGTGGGAGTCTTAATGGTCTTGAAAGAGTTCAAGAAAAAATAAAAATAAACCTTATCGAACATTACTAGCACATGACTTGAGGTTTACAACCTATCATGTTGACACTATCTTGTTTTTGTGCCGTTACAATCGAGTTAATTATGCATATGAGTTCTATGAGTTCTCATTTAAACGTATAAAAAGCAAGCACCTTGATCAATGAAAAGTACATTGATAGGAAAGGGTGAGCTGCTTAACTACTTGGAAGACATGGTGAGCACTTGTGTTACCATAAGGCAAGAAATCCATATTGAGAAGGTTCGGTCCATATGAGTTTGAATTTGTCGTAAACTTTGGTTTTGACAAATTCACATGGATAGGAACACATACACCATTAAAATCTAAGTGTCATAAGATTCCCTCATTCATGAAAATGACTGTGAGGAAATGCTTTAACTAAGAGAGATTTTAAGAAGATAGTGATTGTGAAAATTGGATTCTAGAATTCGATTATGGTTACGGTATCCCTTTCCATGATTCGAATTGTGAGATTTGGCAATTAGTCTAAATTGTTTAGATACACATGTGAGTTATTTAAGGTAAAAGTGTACAAGTTTGAGAAGCTTAGATAAAAGGATTATCAAAGCATTAGGTATTAGAAATATGAACTTAAGAAATTCAATAGGTATTGTTTTTCTGGAAGTTAAGCTATTTTCTAAATACATGTCAAAGTTAGTGGGAGCATAAGTGTTATGCTTATATGACAATAATCATCATGATAGTAGGAGCATAAATGTTGTGCTTGTATGATTATTAAGGTAAGTATTTCAAGTTAGCAATATTAATTATAGAAAACAAGAGTTATACCTTGCAAAGTCGTAAGGATTGAAAAGTTGTTTTGCTATAATTAAGGGAGAAAATATTATGCTTCATTTCAAATCTAAAGGCTTAGGTTGTGGAATGTTAATAAATTTAGTCAAGGATACATAGTGCGTTCTTAAATTTCGATTATGATCATGACATCCCTCTTCATAGTTCAAATTGTGAGAACGTGACACATTATATATTATGGCAGAAGATTGATAAAGTGTCATATCTTTATGTAAGACATTATGCATTGTGTCCCATACGCTTCGGGTATAGGATCGATTGCAAGGGCTATAATATTTAACCATTCTAAAATTTTCCAAATGTATAACGCATTTAGAGGGAAAAAGGACTAGAATCGGTTTTGACTAAGATAATTAAACAACTATCAAAGGACGATCCAAAGCTCGCTGAGGATTGGTCGCTTGTGAGTAGTTGAAAGTATGGTACTGGATGGACCATATCGGCATTATTATGAATAGATAAGATTCTATTAAGAATGAGTTGTCATATGGAAAATATGGAAATGCTTCCATATTAGGAGTTGGATATTGAGAGTCTATGTCTAGATTAGAAATTTTATGCAAGAGGATGTTCAAAGGAATGTTCTTTGAGTGAGAGACATCATGTCTATGGAATTGTATTGTAACAATCTCAGATAGAGGACTTTGTAATTTCATTGGCAGTAGTCATTATGAATTTTGTGCTATGGCATTACAAAAGGATCATTGCATAAAATGTTAGAATCTAGCATATTCTATAAGTGGCAAGAATTTGATATTCTTTCACTTGTGAAAAGGATTAGGAGTTGTGAAATGAGTATGATTGGAAATGTGTTTATTTGATCTATTTCACAAAGTAAGAACCATAGGTAAACATTGTGTACATGCTAAGAGCATGGGACAAGTGTAGTAATAATTCAAGTAAGAAGTTGATTACCCGAAACAACAAATAATGAGTAATCAATATGGTGATAAATAAAAGGTGTTTTATTTATACTCAAAAGTTTGGGGCCATATAGGATTAGTATTATTCTTGTGTTTCACTTTGCATGTTTTGACTTCCTGAATAATTTAATTGGTTCAGAACAGTCAAATTATTCGAACGGACCACAGTCGTTCATATGTTGGAAGTAGGTATGAATGAAGACTGTCGTGAATTGGTGTGTGGATTGTCTAAAGTGTATTAGACATTAGCAAATGTTTGCTGCAACGTTCATGAGTGCTTATGAATATGATTTGAGCATTGGATTAAACCCATGCTTACTTGGATCACTTCATGAATTATATCACGAATGATTGGTGAGACGATAACATCTTATATTCTTGAAACCGAGATGTGTGAGTTGTATCTTGCGAGTCGGTTACACATTGATAATATGTAAACGCACCAGTAACTTGGTGTTATAAAACATATTGTTGTGTGTGATTCGGTAAGTGAGTCCAAGCGAGCTTTGAGTCAAATTTTATCCGTTCCTTTAATCCAAAGTATGATAAAAGCGATATCTTTGGGCCCCTAGATGATTTAGTGATGGGACCTAAGCGCTTGGCCAAGCTGGGACTAATTTGATGTGATCAATTGTAGTCTGTTGTCAGTCGTCATAAATCGGAACTCGGAAAATAGTATAGAGAGAATGATTAGAATTCATTTCTTATATCTATACGATATCTAGAATGGAGGAATATATGATCCCTTATCTAAAGGACACGCGTATCTGATAAGATCAGAGTTGACAACGGCTTTTGAAAGCTACGATTGCAGACCAGGATCTGAAGTCATACGCAGAATAGTTATTAGACTTATCCAAGTGGGAGACTGTGGGATTAGTGTCTAAGTCCATAACTATTTTAGTATGTACTTGACCCGATGGTGCATGGTCCTTTTGGGTTGCCTTCACCAAAGCAACTTGATAGGATGAATTATGGAGAGAGAGAAGATTAATTATGATTTATTAATATATTATGAGAATAATATATTAAAGGAGAAATAATATTGTTTAATTAATATTAGTCAAGAATTAATAAGAATTAAGTTTGTAGCTAAAGACATGAATTAAACTTAAGGGACTAGAACTGTCAATTGTGTGATAGTTGAATATTGGGCTAATGGACTCCATATTAGAGGGGTGGACGAATTCTATAGGGAAACCCATTAGAAATCGTCCTAGGCCTCTAAAGAGGGAGTCCATGGGTTGCTTAGGGCCTAAGCATCCAAATTAGGGTTTCCTTGTTAGATAACCCTAATAGCCTCACTATTTAAAGGACCCTTGAGACTCAAAAACATGGTGAACTTATTCCTTAGGGTTTCCACACGTTTTGGGCAGCCTCCCCTCTTCTTATTCTTCATCCTCTTGCTCTTGGTTTTTGTGAACCATTATAGGAGTGACATTTGTGACTCTAAGCTTTCTAAAGTCATTACAAGGAGGATTTGAGATTGTTATTGCTACATAATAATCAAGGTAAGATCTAAACCCCATTCATAAGTTAATTTGATTAATTGTATGCTAGAACTAGGGTTTAAAGTCTTGGATGAATTGCATGTACAATAGAGAAACCTAGATCCAAGCATTAGGGTTTGCATGAGCACATAAGATGTTCTTATGGCCAAAACCCATCAGTAACTACTTAAAAACATAAAAAAAAAACATTTTTTTTACTAATGCACATAGTTTTTCGGGTTTAGTGTTATATCAAGTTACTAATGTATACAATATTTGTGGGTTGTGTGTGGGTGTTTTTATTTGTTACAGATCTTTATAGAAATCGTGTTGTCTGAATAAAGATTCTAGAGGGTAAAGGTAAAGAATTACGTTTCCTATGAAACAAAAGGATGCGAAATCCCATGTGATCTTAACTGTATTGTTTGTGTAGATCTAATTTTGTATATGTACACATTTAACTTTTATTGTTAATGTGATATAATTGTCTTATTAATTATTGATGTTGTTTTAGGAAAATGTCATGGGCACATATTGCTAATGGCTTTATATTTACATTTAGTTTTTTCCCAAACCCAAGAGTTATTTGAATTTTATTGGGGATAAGGTTTTTTTTGAAGGGAGAGGAATATATGGATTAAAAGGAAAAAAGTTATTAAGATTTTATTGTAAACTAATCAATTACTATTGATGATTTTGTTGGAAAATTATTAATTATTATTTTATCTTTTAAAAACAAATAAAGTCTTTGATGGTAATGGTAAGAAAAGTCAACGGAATATTTAGTTGTCTATTGGTCATCATATTTAGAGTAATGTCAGGTAATCTTTCACTTGGACTTAGAAAATCATTAAACCACTTAATTCTTTGGTACTTATACTCACTTTTGTCAAAAGAATTTTAAAACTATAACCACAACTAACACTTTCTTTTTACTCTTCCTATTCCTTATCACATACAAGAACCAACATTTTATTAATCTCTTTTGTTCTGTTCTGGGAAGGGTTTTTCCCCCTGGTTATGAAGGTGTAGTTTATGATGTCATAACTTGTAGTCGGTGGGGTTCCAAGATCACGGTTGATGAAACCCGTTGTATGGGTGTGTTATGCCTAAGAGGTGATGGTAGATGTGATCTAGGTTATGTCTCTCCAAAGGTGGTTGCTTGCATGGCAGTTCACGGTTGCACCAAGGAGACTAAGGTATAGTTGAAAGTGATAAGTGGTTTGTTTATGATGATGAAGAAGGTTATGACAAGAAGTAGTGGATTTCGATTCATAGTGGCGGGTTGCTTCAAACCCTGGGGGGCTTGTATGAAACTCGGTTTAGTGGTTGTAAGGTGATATATACCGATCCATTTCGTATTGTTTTGGAATTTGATATGTTTGTGAATTGAAACTACGCCACATGGAAACTATTCATCGAATTGAGTTAATATTTGTATGTAAACTATTCATTGAAATGAAATTAACAATCGCAGCCACATCGCACAGGTATCCCACTATATGCTTATATATTGTACTCTAAACCCAAGAACCTAAACAATAAACCGTAGACTGTAACATAAACCCTAAACAAAAAATACCAAATATTAATCCGAAATTACTATGTTTTCTTAATTAATTTACATTAATGAAGAAAATGTTTTTTATATGTTATCATTAACTAAAAATGATCAATTTTTTAGAAAATAAATCCAACGAAAAAACTATAAAATATATACAAAAGTGATGAACACATTAAAAAATACATTTTATGACGAAAAGAAAAACAATATTTGAATTGAAACTAATAAGTGATATTTTCCAATACATCGTGCCTTATTTCTAATATGATATGTTTCTTGAAGCAAACTAATCACTGAGGTGAAAGTAATCATTTCTTCGACAAAAAAAAAACTAATCACCTCTCTAAAATAATTTGTGGAATAAATTATTCGCACCCGTCGCTTGGCGCGGGTAAATGACTAGTATATATATATATATATATATATATATATATATATATATATATATATATATATATATATATATATATATATATATATATAATGACCACTATATTATGGTCCGTAATGGTTTTTCACTTGTAATTCAGGGACCACTATTGAGAGGCCACTAACTGTTTTACCGCATTTATGTAGTTTTCAATAACAAATGAATAGTATTAGTTTTGAATAAGAGTAGGCAAGTGACTACTATTTTTGATCACTAAATCTCCAATACAGTGACCATCTTTTTTGTTACTAAGATTCTAATACAATGACCATTATTTTTTGTCACTAAATAGTTAACATAGTGACCTTATTTTTACTCACTAAATAGTTATTATGATATGAAATAAAAGTATATTTTTTTCACGTTTTAGTGACCAAGTTAGTGACCACCATATATAATAGGTCACTAAATTTATAGGATTACCAAAATTCAGTAACCGCTTAATCCCTGGTAACTAAAAGATGTTTTTAGTGACAAAATTTTAGATCGTCACTAATAAGGACTTTTCTTGTAGTGAAATTCCATTAAAGTCCGTCTGAATAGATGTTCATGCAAATAGACAAGGTTTATAACTAGTAAATAATCACAAAAAAAGGTTGGTATTACTCTACCAAGTCGAGATTGATGTTCGGTTGGTGACATTTCCACGTATAATATCTAGCAAGATAAAGTATACTTACACGATACAACATTTGACTTTAAAGAACTTCGTAACGGTTATTGCTATAATGATAAAATATACAAGATACAACATTTGGCTCTTTCATGCATCTAATTGTTGTGAATGCAAATAGACAAGGTTTATAACTAGTAAATAATCACAAAAAAAAGGTCGGTATTACCAAGTCCTGATTGATGTTCCGTTGGTGAAATTTCCACATGACTACCAAGAAAAATTATACAAGATACAACATTTGACTTTAAAGAACTTCGTAACGGTTGCATCTATAATTAAAATATACAAGATAGAACATTTGACTTTTTAAAGGGCTCGATGTCAGTCCACCGTTATAGGTACACGCTTCTAAACAAACTGGGTTCTATATATATCCACAGAAAAGCTGCTACTACCATAACCATACATAATCATCAATATAGAAAACAATGGTAAGCTTCTAATCTTTTTTTTATAACAATATGTTTTCAATAAGAGAAAGGATTTGTTGTTTTAATTTAGTTCTAAAAACTAATTTTAATTGCGCGTCTGCTTATAAGACTTGCATATTCCTTTTTCGAAATCACTTTTAACAAACTTCTGCTTAAGATTTATCCTCATAAGAATTATTCAATAAACTGAGCTTCCAAATCAACAAGCAGGAGTTTCATATGTTGGGGGCCAACGACCTGTCCATTGAATGGCAAGATGACACTCGATACTGGGAATGGGGACATATACCGGAATCAAGGTCTTTCTCTTTCTCTCTTAAGCGTCACATTGTACGTTATTAATATACTGAATTTGGCATTCATGCATATACTTACGTTGTGGTTTCTGTAGGTTCCCGGAGGTGTGCACACTTAGAGAAGTTTGGTGGCTTGAGATCCACGGAAAAGTAGCAGCTGTGAATCTGTCACAAAACAATACATATGTCGCCTATCTTGTCTTTCGAACTACTGAGAATTGCTCTGGACTTGATGCGCCAGCAAAATCAAGTGTAAGTTTTCGTGGGGTAAAAAGGGAGACTGAAAATGTTTATCTTCAAACACCAGGGCGTGTGCGGCAGGACTATGTGATTCCTCTTAGGAGAAACGATGGGTGGATGGAGATTAAGTTGGGAGAATTCGAGTACAAGGAAGGAGATGATGGTGAAGTTGAGATGGTGTTTAAGGAGGTTACGCTGAACAAGCGGAAGAGTGGTCTGATCGTGGAGGGAATCGAGATTCGGCCTAAATAACCATTCTTCAATCTTCATTTATATATTATATTTATTCAAATTATACAATTAATATACTACGTACTTTGTTATTTAATAATAAAATGTATAACTTCGTAATAAAACTATTTAATATATGATTTCTTATTTTAGATACTATAAGTTACGTCCATCCTTGTTAATGTATAATGATGTAGTTTTATTTGTGTTGTTTATCTATATGCGTTGTGTATTTATATGATGCTATCTATATGTTAGAAACTTCAAAAGTTTTTTTATTTTTTTATTTTTTTTATTTTTTTTTTATGGTTCTACGGGTATCCAAAATACGAACGAGATAGATGTTTGTTGTCCCAACCATTCTTTTGAATCCCTATCCTGATAAGGAATGTGTTAATTTCTAACAAAGTTTTAGTTTTTTCCTAGGCATAATGCTTCTTTTCTTCTTCTTCTTCTTCCATACAGCCTATTGATATGCCTTTTCTTAATCAGTTACTTGTCTCCTTTGCTACTATTGATTCAATTCCAAAGATGGAGGAAGTGAAAATAGACTGAAAAGGATAGGAAGGAGACTTGACTTTAGGGAGATAAAATCCCATTTTCTCAGTCTCTTCTAGTTAGTAGTACCTACCGGATGAATTACTTCCCTTAAAGGCCTACCTTCCTTGGCACATAGATTAGCATTTTTCCCCTTACCTTAGATACAAAAAGCATGTCAAATTGTAGATTGGGCTTCCTATAATTGGGGGCGAGTCACCTTCATGTATGCAAGAGGCTCGAAGACCCTTGGTTTTGAAAGCTACATGAGTTCAAACGCTATGTTGAATGTGCAATTGACACTAGGTAGGTACTTGGTGAGGCGTCGGTCGGTCCTAGAAAAAATGACAACGACACGAGGAGTTCACAACCAAACATGTTGCAACGTAGGGATCACCAGGCAACTCTTTCGCTCTCTAGAGATCGAGGGCATAACATATTTCTTCTTGCAACGAGAACAAAATAAATAATGGAGTTAATTTTTGGATGAAAATCAAGATTTTGACATAAAAAAATGAATCAAGTAAATTCATGTTCTTTTTTTGGCCGAATTATCAATTAGAAGATTTAGCTTGTACGAATTGTTAATTGTTTGATACCAATAATGGGATTCGCTTGAGTGTGTGTGTGTGTGTGTATATATATATATATATATATATATATATATATATATCAATGTTGTAGACATCGACCTAATCAGCTGATTATTTAGCGATTAATCGCTAATCGGACTTCCACCAATGAGATTAATTGCTAATCAATCAATATAATTGGGCTTGGTAGGTCAAATTTAGAATTAATCGGACCTAATCGAACCTAACTGGGTTTGGTCAATGATCAAAGTCAGACTGAATCGGACCTAATCTCCGATTAATCACTTATTTTAAAGGATTAAAATTAGATTTATAATTTTTTGCATAATTTTCCTAATAATTAATGGTCCCCAATTAATCTCCCAATTAATCACTGCCTAGCAGATTAATCCCTAATCGCTAGTCTACCGATTAGCGATTTCTGCAACCATGATATATATATATATATATATATATATATATATATATATATATATATATATATATATATATGCGTCCATGATTGACAATTTTGAGTTTCGTTGATATTTCGTTTTTCTATCAATCAGTTCTGTCAGCGAATGACGACACTCGATCGGCCTGACTTTCCCAAATGCCCACCACAATCCCTTCCTCTTTCAGGGTCTGGATTTTTCATGTCGTTTCTGTCGTCGTGGACGATGACGAATAAAGAAATTAATGAATGTTCTTTTGGGAAAATGTATAATTCTACTCCTACTGAGATGTTTATACGTACCCTCATATCTACTAGTCATCGCCTTTAAGCTAGGAAAAGCGATTACCTGGAATCGGCTATTCCTGATTCAGCAAAGGAAAGAAGCCTTAAACAAAGAAAACCCATCCTTTCTAGAAGTTGTCTGACTTTTACTTCCAGTTCAGCTTGTAGATCATCATTAAATTCAGTCACAAAGTCCACCAATTCTTGGGACTTCATAGCTAATCTTGGCTCACACTTTATTACATACATGTTCAATTTCACGGACCATTTTTCCATCCTTTCTGACATTTCTAGTTTTCTCATAACATTCTTAATGGGATAATTAGTTCTTACTGTTATAGGGTGTTTATCAAAATAGTGTCTTAATTGTGTAGAAGAAGTTACTAATGTAAGTATAAATTTTTCAAGGTAGGAGTACCTGGTCTCAGGATCCAGGAGACTTTTACTTACATAGTAGATGGGATGTTGGTCGCCATTAAGATCCTTAGCTAGCACTGCACTCACCGCATTTGAGGATACCGAGAGGTAGAGAAGAAGTGGTTTCCCATCTAATGGTTTTACCAACAGGGTTGCTGAATTTAAGTATTTTTTAAGTTCCTAGAAAGCATGCTCATGTTCCTTGGTTCACTTGAATCTTTTGTTATTCTTCAAAATGTCGTTGAAAGGATTGCATCTCTCTAAGGATCTTGACATGAACCTGTTTAAGGTTGCCACTCTTCATATTAGTCTTTAGATATCTTTTGTCGATGATGGTGATCTTAGATCGAGGACAACCTTGATTTGCTCCGGGTTTGCTTTAATTCCTATTTTGGTCACCATGCATCCAAGGAACTTGCCTGATCTCATCCCAAAGTGGCACTTAGAGGGATTTAGCTTCATGTTATATTCGTCAAGTATGTCGAAGGCTTCTTAAAAATCCTTGAGGTAATCTTTAGCTTTCTTGGACTTGACCATCATGTTGTTTATGTATACATCTATGGTGTCCCCCAGTTTATCTTTGAACATCTTGTTGACTAGCCTTTTGTATGTTGCACCTGCGTTTTTAAGACCAAATGGCATGGCAGTATAATAATAGATACTTGTTAGAGTTATGAACACCGTATCCTCTTGGTCATATGGTTCCATCTGGATCTGCTAGAACCCCATTGATGCATCCATGAATGTTAATAATTCATAACACATTGTCGTATCTATCATGGAGTCTATATGTAGTAGTGGGAAAGTATCCTTCGGACAAGTCTTATTAAGATCCGTATAATCTACACATACTCTCCACTTACCATTTTTCTTTTGTATTATGACCACATTAGCTAGCCGCATTGAGAATTTCATAGCCTTGATCATCCCAGTTTTGAGAAGTTTTTCTACTTCTTATTGTATAACTTGGTTTCTCTCTAGTGCAAATTTTCTTCTCTTTTTATGTATTGGTCTTAAAGATGGATCAATGTTAACCTTACGAGTTATTATATTTTTATCTATACCGATCATGTCCACATGCTTCCGTGCAAACATCTTGCTTCTAGCTTTGAGGAACTTTAATATATCATGTTCGATTTGTTTAGGCATTGAGGATCCTATGAGAACTTTGGCTTCAGGATCCTCAAGGTTCAGGGGCACTTCTTTTATATCATGTTCTCTTGCTTCCAGTATATCTTGTGCCCACTTGTTTAATACCTATACTTTTCTTGGTATCGTCGAGGCTTTCGTTATAGTCTTGTAGCATTCTTTGGATTCTTGTTGGTCTCATATGATCTTCACTGTCCCCTATGGGGTAGGCATCTTCACGCATTGATGATATATCGATGGAACGACCTTCATTTCTTGGATCCATGGTCTACCTTGTATAACATTATAGGAGGATAATGTACCAATTACACAAAAACATTGTAGAGAGTATACCCCCTCTATGTAGATATGTAACTTTATCTTGCCGACGGTATGCTTTGTTTTGCCGTTGAATCCGATTAACACTGAGTATCTTCTAACTATTTTAGACTCCGGGATGTTCATTCTTTTTATTGTGTCCATGAGTATCATGTTGACTGAGGATCCTTCTGACGAAATGACTGGCGATGTAGAGAGTGATTACCAATCCATCATGGTTAGGATCCTAGATGTCTTGTCTATTTGCTTCTTCGAAGGTGATATCCTTCTTGTTTGAGATTGATGTGTTCTTTTGTGGTCCTTTTTTCTTTCTTAATTTTTGATACCTTAGCGTGCATCTTT